ATTTGGGGGCGAGTGGGCCTGCAGGGGAGGGCAGTTGAGGGCAACTAGGCTTGCAGGGGAGTGCAGTGGGAGGGTGGGGCAAACCAGCAGGGGAGGGCAGTTGGGAGTGACCAGGCATGCAGGGGAGAGCAGTTAGAGGCAATCAGGCTGGCAGGGGAGCAATTAGGCGTCAATCAGGCCGGCTGAGGAATGGTTAGGGAGTGATCAAGCTGGCAGGCAGAAGCTTTTAGGGGCAATCAGGCAGGCAGGCAGGCAGGCGAGCGGTTGGGAGCCAACAGTCCTGGATTGTGAAAGGAATGTCTGACTGCCCATTTAGGCCCCATCCCGGTGGGAGAGGGTGCAGACTGGGCTGAGGGACACACACCCCCTATGCATGAATTTTGTGCACTGGGCCTCTAGTTAACTATATTATCCCTGGATCAGAATTATGTGATTCTAGTGGCCTACAATTGACTGATAGAATACGGTGGGGGTGAAGAGAGAGAAGACTATAAATTTAAGGTTGTGATCCCGGAGAACTGAAAAGATAGAAGTACCCTTGATAAAAAGTAGGAAGGTGCCAACTTGGGGGGTTGAAGTGGGGTGATTTAGTGTTTGCCAGTTTTGCTGTCATTGAGTAAGGGAGAAAAATGTAACCAGCCTCAGAAATGTTCAATGTTTGTGATTTGAAAGGAGAGCCAGGAGGTAGGACTGATGGAAATATTGTGAAAACTTGAGCCTAGACCTGTGTTATCCAAATTGTAGGGCAACTTCTACAGAAGAAAGACTTCTTTAGGCTTCTCCAGGCTTATGGCTATTAGTTCAGGAAGAAGTTTAGGTCTGAAAGGTAGGTTTGGGTAGGGTTTTCTTTCTCTAAGGAAATTATAGCATTAATCTATAATTTGTATATTCATAAAAGACCATGACTTAGAAGGAATCACTATTAAAAATTATTTTACAATTTCAATCATTATCTTTTTATCTTCCCTTTAAAAAAAAAACAAAACCCACTTCTCACACACTAAAAAATGAATTTGTTACAAGTATTACTTCGAACCTCCTGATAAGTCTAAAGTTTAGTGATCATTTTAAGGTAGTAAAACAATGATAATAGTATCTATTATAATGTTTTTTTCCAAGATGTTTATCCATTTATCCTATATAATAAAAGGCTAATATGCAAATTGTTTCCATGGGTGGGAGTTTGACTGACCAGGAGTTAGATGTGCGCTAACCACCAGGTGGCAGCATGGAACATGGCAGGCATCAGCAGTGAGGCGCTGGCAGCAGGTGGCAGTGGAGGCACTGCTGGACCCAGTGGGCCCCAATAAGAGTGGGACTGCAGCGGGATGGTGGAGCAGGTGAGCGGGCGGAGCCAGGCCAAGGCGGGTGCGAGTGGGGGCCCTAATCGGCCCAGCGGTCACCCCACAGACAGCGATCGGCAACCGCGATGGGGAGGCAGGGCTGGAAAGCAGACAGCACCAGGCCAAGGCGGGTGTGAGCGGGGACCCTGATTCCCTGCCGGTTGCCCCACAGATCAGCCTTGATCGCCAGCCAGGCCTAGGGACCCTTCCCATGCACAAATTTTGTGCACCAGGCTTCTAGTATAAAATAATAATAGAATGGTTAATGCTACCATGTGCTTTTATATTTAGATAATCTATCTTTTAAGAAGTACTCATCCTTTCATCTAACTCTTTAGTTTATTGTAATACTGATTAATAAACTTTTCAATCTGCAGGTAATGTGCACTGGTTGAAGGGAGGGGCACATGGGTTCCTGGCTGTATTTTTATTGGAGATCAAGATGAAACCAGAAACCATTGTTTCTGTTTTTGTGTATTGTATTTGGATATAAGGATATGAGGTATAGTTTACAGGTTGATATGTTATTATTAAATGTTACTCATATCTGATTTCCTTGTGAATTTCTGTTAACAATTTAGAAAAGCATTCCCATAAAAACCATTCTGGTGACTGTAGATATAGGATATCATGCCTGAGACTATGGTAGATATTTATAATTACAGCTTTTCTTAAAATATTAAAGCTATGAGAATTCATTACAAAACAAAATATTGTTGTAGAAATTATAATATTCTCCTAGTGAGCATCTTGTGAGAAAATTGGTAACCTGTTTGGCCCTTAATTAAAAACTAATCTCTGGTAAAATGTGAGAAAATAGAAACAATCATTCAATCTCAAATACTTCAATTTTATATTTCTTTTAATTTTTAAGTATTTTTTTAAATTTTATATTTCTAATGTCCTATTAGGGTTTTGGAAAGTTCCTCCAAATATCTTTCCTATCTCCACCACTTTTAAAAATATACGAAGAGCCCTAGTCAGTTTGGCTCAGTGGATAGAGCGTTGGCCTGCAGACTGAAATGTTTCGGGTTCTATTCTGGTCATGGGCACATGCCTGGGGTTGCAGGCTTGATCCCCAGTAGAGGGCATGCAGGAGGCAGCCAATCAATGATTCTCTCTCATCATTGATATTTCTATCTCTCTTTCCCCCCCCCTTCCTCTCTGAAATCAGTAAAAATATATTTTAAAAAGTATGAAGAAACTAAGCCAGAGTATGATTTTTCAATGTACTAGTAAAATTAAATTTGTATACTAATCATATTTTTACCAAATTGTATCAGTCATTTAAAAAAACCTGATCAGCTATACTACCAAAAGATACCTTTGGTTGTGTTATTCAATGGGGTGGGGGTTGTCCCTTAGACCAGCAGTTGGGAGAAATGTCAATAGTGTGCTACTGTTCATCAAGGCATCTTAATAAAATGACGTGTAAACCTAAGTACATGATGAAAAGGTATTTTCACAGGCTATACCACTGACCAAATGCACAGATTTAAAGTTTAAACGTTTAATTCTGTGTCACAGTAATCAAGTTTGACCTGTTTGTTTCTTATGTTTCTTTTAACAGAACTTAATTCCTTTTCGACCTTCAATTCAGTTCCAAGGGCTCCAAGGGGTGAGTACTCATTGATTTAGCAAGAAAAGCTATTATTTTCATACATTGTTTTACCTAAGTCTTAAAATTTGTTTTCACCTGTACCTCTTAATGTACTCATATTTTATGAACTTTGTGACTAAATGTAAATTTCTGACACCTTTACAACACTTGAATTATCTTCTTTTTAGTTAAAAAATAGTTAAGATATACTTATTGAGTAGATTTTTGCAAATCATGGGTAATTGCATTTTTTAACCATTTTATTGCAATGTAACACATTCAAAGTATAATGAGAATGTCTTGTTTATCACAATCCTATATAATAAAGAGGTAATATGCAAATTGACCATCACTCCAACACACAAGATGGCCGCCCCCATGTGGTCAAAGATGGCCACTATAAGATGGCCAGCAGGGGAGGGCAGTTGTGGGAGATCAGGCCAGCAGGAGAGGGCAGTTGGGAGGGACCAGGCCTGCAAGGGAGGGCAGTTGGGGGAGATCAAGCTGCAGGGGAGGGCAGTCAGGGACAAGGCAGAGGCGGTTAGGGGAGATCAGGTTAGCAGGAGAGCAAGCAGTTAGGGGCAAGATCAGGCTGGTGTGGGGGAGCAAGCAGTTAGGAGTGCGATCAGGCCAGTGCCACGGAGCAAGCAGTTAGGGGGCAATCGGCCAGCTGGGGAAAGAAGTTAGGGGGCGATCAGGCTAGCAGGGGAGGGCAGTTGGGGGGCATCAGGCCTTCAGGGGAGGGCAGTTGGGGGGGACCAGGCCTGCAGGAGAAAGCAGTTGGGGGTGACCGGGCTGGCAAGGGAGGGCAGTTAGGGGAAAGCAGGCCTGTAGGGAGGGAAGTTGGGGGTGACCAGCCCAGCAGGGGAACAGTTAGGCATCGATCAGGCTGGCAGGGGAGTGATTAGGGGGTGATCAGGCTGGCAGGCAGAAGCAGTTAGGGGCAATCAGGCAGGCAGGCAGGTGAGCAGTTGGGAGCCAGCAGTCCCGGATTGTAAGAGGGGTCCCAGATTGGAGAGGGTGCAGGCTGGTCTAAGGGACAACCCCCACCCCATGCACGAATTTCGTGCACCGGGCCTCCAGTTAAGTTATAAAGAGTAATTAATTTCAGGCAAATTCTGATTATGTGATAATGTTTTTATTAACAACTATTCTATTTAATTTCTTTGATTGTACACACTAGAAAATTAAATGTATAGATAGAAAATTGAGTTTTTCCAGTACACAGAATAAACAACGAGTTCTATTTTATTGCACATTTAAAAACATAATAAATGATAACTCGTAATAAAATGCACCTATGAATTTTCTGTTTATAATAGATGATAGACTTTACAGTACTGTCAGTATTATTTATTACTATTACTATTTAATATTAAATAAATAGACACAGTCATTCCTTCATCTAAATTAACATGCATTTCTGAATTTGTCTCTGTATAGTATAGTATGGAGAGTTGGGATATCTGTAAATAGAGTTTAGCCTATAGAGAAAAGGCAAGTTGGGGAGGCGGGGAGATTATATTTCTGCTTACTATAAATCTACATACTTACGACTTTTATCATGTCACAAAATGCAAAGTTCAATGTAAATAAATCCAATCTTTCTAAACTTTATAAGTTGAAAACATTTCAAGAGTCGAGATTAGTTATATCATTCAACACCAAGTGGAGTACTTTTAAATTTTGTGTAATGCTAACTTGAAAGAGATGTTTGTGTGTAGATGTCAGAGCTTTACATGATAGCTTTATAAGAACATCCTTTTTTTTTTTTTTCTCCCAAGTTACCAAGTGTTCATGAATGGGATTGTAATTGGAACAAGGTTCTCCTGAATTTTGTTTTATAGCTTTTTAGGTAATCTTTAGCACATGCTAATTCTGTTTCTTTTGTTTGTTTTGTTTTTTTGAGGTGTTCATTTCAGTTGTTTACTTAAGGCTTCTTAAAAATTTCTGGAAATTTTTAATGGTGTTAGTTATATCTTAAGAGATGTTCCAGAGGCAGGTCTGGATCCATGTACCTTGGGGGGCTCTACAGAAACAGTAAAGGGTTATGTTGACACAAGAAACACCCAGACCTGCAAGAATTTTTATGAGTTTATTTGAGCCAAACTGAGGACACTTGCCAGGAAGCAAAATCTCAATGGATTGAGAAAATGCTCCGGAAAAATGGCAGGTTTTTGTTTTGTTTTGTTGTTTGTTTGTTTTTAAGTGTATGTTTATTAAACCTGGGGACAGTGAAGGGTTTAGGATAGAAGAAGCAACTGGTGAGAGCCTAGGTGGGGCTGCTTGGCTCACTGGGAAGTCAGAGGAAAGGGGGCGTTGGAGACAGGTTTAGTGGGTTAGCCCAGGACAAGCTGCCACTGCCCTTTGCTCCCCTGATTGTAAGTCTCGTGGGTACCCTTAGAGTTTAGGAGATGCACAGCTTAAAGGGAAGAAAGGCATGGGCATGCTCCCAGGAGGGAGAGCACATCTAGCTTTAGCACTTATTGTATACATCGGAATCAAAGGGGGAGATGTAGATGGATTACATGAAATTTGCTGGTGATTAGGGAGACTAGAGAAAACAAAGCAGGAAATCTCTGGGTTTGGATAAAAAGTAAAAGGAATGGACATACACTTCTTTTGCATAGGTGGATATAGGATAGTTAACAATTAACACAATAACAATAACAATGAGGGGCTCTGTAGTCCCCTGCTCTGGTGGGAAATAGTGCCCTGGAGGATTTGGTAAAAGGAAATTAACCCTGATTTTCCAAAGGTATGTTATCCTAGATGCAAAAAGACAATAACAGACAGGCTCATTTAAGGTAAAGATTGACCTTTGTCAAGGAAGATGCTGGCCTAGATCATGACTACTCACCATGACTTGCTTTTATATGGAAAGTTTTTATTTCAGACCAACTTATGTGATTACTTTAGGTCTCAGAATTTATAAGGCCTACTATACGGGCCTCCCCTGAGCTTGTCAGGGAGGAGAGGGCAAGACCCTCACTAGCAGCTGTCACTTTGGGTCTGCTTCTCCCTTAAGTCTCTCTCCCAGTTAGAACATGGATGCCAGGGCAATGCAAGTGAATAACATTTTCTTAGGGAACACCAGGTTGGACTGAATAATGATGAACCAATATGTGCAGGCTTTCAAACTCTTGATTCATGCAGACATATGCAGCTTTTATCAGTCTTAAGGAATATAGCTTTCCTACCAATTGCTCTCAGGCTGTAGGCATCATTGCAAAGCAGGCAGTTTATATTTGAAACCTTGTACATCCTTTTCTGAATTCTGCTACTTCCCCCAAGCTTGTCTGTCTCAGCTTCCCCAATTTATCTATGCAAGCTCCATTCTCTCTCTCTATTCCATCCTCCCCTGAGTTTAATTCATGATAAAAGTAATTTGGATATAAATGACTGATAGGTTTAAATTTTAATAGGTATTTTAATTTTAGCAGATAAGCTTTTTAACCCAAATGAATGGTTACTGGATTTCATAGAGTAGAAGATAGAGGGGTGAAAGAGGAGGGAGTTGCAGGCTGACAACTGTGGGATATGTGGCCCAACCTTGCTTATTCTGGGTTGTCTCCTTGTCCCCTCCACCCCAACTGCTGTCCACTTTTTTATTCTAACTGGGAACAAAATATATGGACTCAGCATTGTTTCATAGCCTGCAGCTGCATTCCATCTGCCCCTCCCCCCTTCTCTTTGCCTAGCTCTCACCAGCCTTTTGGGACTTATTGAAAACAAAGAGTCATTACGGGGGAGAGAGTGGGTTGGCACTGCCCACAGGGAATACACAGGGCCACAAATGTGAGGGTCTCTGTACAGTGCTCCTCTGTTTGTCTAGGGAGGCATGGTAATTTAACATTGCCTATGCTGATTGCTCTAGAAACTCTTAAGATATACACTTACAGTTTTCCTATGTGGAAAATGTTTAGGACTTCAAATGGAAGGTTTAAATTTAGGCTCCCACAAAAGATACTTTTTCCTTAATGAGAAATTTTAGTTCTCTTTTACTACAATGTTTCAGAAACTTTGAAAAATGTTTCTAGAAAGGATTTAGCAAATCAAACAAATTTACAGTTTTTACATCAAACATGATTTTTATCAGATTTTTCATTCTTTAGGCAAAAATGATAATGAAAAGAAACTGGAAGTATAGCAATATACTGTTACGGAGTACAAATTCTGAGAATCATTGATTACCTGGATTTTTATCATCACAACTGGGCAGCAACTTTTATAGCATAAAAAAAATGAAAATTGTTTCTTTCACAATTCATCTCCCCCCTTTCCTTTAGCAGGGGTGAGGAACGTCGAGGTGGGGAAATCATTTGGTCTAGCCCTGCCAAGGCATTAGGAGTGAGTTAATTAAATGTTTGACCAAATATAGCAGGCTACTTTTTAAGTTGATAATTTTGTATGGCCCTCGAATGATGTCATTAATATCCTTGGCAGAAAAAAGGTCCCCCACCCCTGCTTTAGAGGAAGAGGGTGCTCAGGAAATTGAATGGTCATTGAAGGCATTTTATGGATTCAGAAAGAGGAGGAAATATCTGTAGGAGTAGTTGATGGTGATTTCTAAACTTGTGATTATCAGGAGCTACATAAATCAGCTACAAATGTCTTATTGACTTCCCTGAAGAGTATGAGTCAACTAATTATCCTCACAGTTTTAATCCATACCTATGATGCTCACTAACTAAAGGTTTCCTAGGATTATACATCCTGTAGACCCATTTCAATTGAACAGAAAAAGTGGTAAGATTCACGTGGGCTACAATATTGAGGTGTTCAGGTTACAACATTCAGAGGAAAATGCTGCATCTTTATTGTCAGGTAAATTTTATACAAATCAGAATAGTTCTGTCTCTCTTTTTTTTTTAATATATTTTATTGATTTTTTACAGAGAGGAAGGGAGAGAGATAGAGAGTCAGAAACATCGATGAGAGAGAAACATCGATCAGCCGCCTCCCACACATCTCCCACTGGGGATGTGCCCGCAACCCAGGCACATGCCCTTGACCGG